GAAACAGGTTTCTATATAGAGGGTTGAAAACACAGTTGATTGGAATGCAGTTTAGTGATTTATTGCAGTGATAGACTTAATGCGGCGTTGTTCGAGGGAAGGTTCATCGGCTTCCACGTAAAAACTGTCCACAGGAGAGGCCCTAAAAGCTCCAAGACAAAGCCTCAGGCCTTGGTGGTGTATTGTGTTTAATTTTTCTAAATCGCTTTTCCGGCTCCGCCATAAGCAATTGAACCATAGTCTAGACTAGATCTAATAAGGGATCTATACAGGTGAAGTAAGGTTGTGTGATCATAGCAATCATAGTCTAGTTTGAAGCGTATTTACGATCTGTACAAGTATGAGGGTTGTCTGATTCCCTCCCCACTCGGAATTTGAAACGACTTTTAACAAGTCGAGAGCCTTCAGGCACTTTAGATGTTTTATGTGTTGTAAGAACGTGAGATGACGGCCAAATATGAAACCCAGGAATTTGTCTTCCTCTACTAGGTGTGGTGAAATGGGGTGTAACGTCGCGTCCAAGATTATTGCACTTATATAGCGCGTGCGTGCGCGCGCGCGCGTGTGTGTGTGTGTGCTTGTACTAGTCCGGACTGATGCCGATTAAATAGTGGTAGCCCTGTGAGATACCAGGCAGCATTTTAACATGAATACCCCACTCAGACACAGTATACCGACGCCAAGCCAACCAGTCCTTGTTTAAGGCCCCTTAATGCCGAGCGCCAGGCAGGGTAACAACAACTACCATTTTTTAACGTCTTTGGTATGACGCGGCCGTAGATCGAACCCCGCACCTTTCGCTCTCCGGGCGGACACTCTACCACTAGACCACGGAGGCGGTCGCCTCCTCTACTACCTTGATCGGAGTACCATCTACAAATATATCTGGACCCTTGTGATCGAGACAAAAGTGAATACAGTTTGTGTTGGATTTAGAAAATTTGAAGCCATTTTCGTTGGACCATTTTTTAATTTTGTTAAGACAAAACTGTAGCTGTCTTTCTTTTATATTCATATTCTTAGCACGACAAGAAATGTTGAAATCATCCACATAAAGTGAACCATCAACGCTATTGTTCAATACGTTTGTGAGACTATTAATATTGATGCTAAAAAGTGTGACAGATAGGATGCTGCCTTGAGGGACGCCCTGACCTTGATCGAAATGATCGGACAGGGTAGAGCCCACTCATACTTGAAAGTGTCTGTTGTTTAAAACTTGAGATATGAACTGTTAAAGTCTTGATTGACAGTCAAGAAACACAAACATAACATCGCGACTCTTCGCGATATTTGGTCATGATTCGGCTTGACATGAATGGATGGCACATATGTTAGTGTCTAGTCTTTAAAGGAAGCAATTATATTTGATATACAGTAAAACCCTGCTAATCAAAAAATTATCCGGATATATTTTTTTAGGATTACTGGTACACGCCCTTTATTATTATTATTATTATTATTATTATTATTATTATTATTATTATCGTTTCCAATACGTTGATCGTATAAATACGTTGGCTATTCTAAGTCACTGGCAATTACGTTTGCAAGAAAGTTCTACATCATTTGATGACTTGCTTCGAAAGTGTTTGTAGTGTCAACGCTAAGTATCGATAGAAGCAGATAATCCAGGATATAGTTTTTATAGATAACCAGCGTTTTGTGATTTTTGTATAAACATTTTAATGAGGCCACCAGCCGAGCATTGTTGACATTTCGTGCTAGTTCTACACAAAGAACATTAACTTTACATGGATAAGAGAGCGTTTTAAGATTTTGTTTCGAAATATTGTGTAGGTAGGGAAATCTAAACTGTTTGTTCGCTTGATGTATATGTAGCAAAACAGGACAATTATCGATTAACACCGTTTGTATGCTGCACTCAGCACTATTCCAGCTGTATGTCGGTGGTCTGCAACTAATCGAGTGTGGATCAGGCGATCCAGTGATTGATATCATGAGCATCATCCCACGTCGTTGGCGTTCGACGACACGCAATCGATTAAGCCGCTTACTACGATGGCACAAGTTGTTGGAGACCTATTTTTACCCGGAATCCCCATAGGGTTAAAACACTTAAAGCATACCCAACCAATGTGCCTGCACTCACATAAACGAGACCCGTGAAGATCCGGGGTAGAATAGGTCTTCAGCAACCCATGCTTGCCGAAAAAGGCGTCTTTGCTTGTCGTAAGAGGCGTCTAACGGGATCGGATGGTCAGGCTCGCTGACTTGGTTGATGCATGCCATCGATCCCAATTGCGTGGATCGATGCTCATGATATCAATCACAGGATTGTCTGGTCCAGACTCGAATATTTACATACTGCTGTCATATAGCTGGAATATTGCTGAGTGAGGCGTTAAACAACAAACAAACAAACAAGCAAACAATAAAACAGTTAGATTGGTGGATTGAGTAAATATGACGTTACGCCTGATGTTAGTGCTTCTTGTCATATAAAAAAATACCTTGAATTTGACTTTCTGCTGAATTTGACTTTCTGCTGTTTTCATGTTTTAGAAAATGCACCCATTTCATTGGATGCCAAATACACTCTTCAAGAAAAAGAAATGCACAGGTAGATTCTTAGTAAATAAATTGTACTAATAAGGTCGATATATTAAATTTAATATCATAGATACAAATATTTTGGACCTCGATAGTCACATGTTGTCGTTGAACAAAGGCATTGAAAACTGTTAATCGTCATGTCAAATAAGGCCACAAGGTTGCGTTGAACTCAGTATCTTGTGTGACCGCCCCGGGCAGCAATCACGGCGCTTTGTCTCCTCGGCCCTGGATAAGTGTACGAATTCTGCCCTGCGGAATTCTGCGCCATTCTGCTTGTAACGCGTTGCCCAGTTGTTATAATGTCTGCGGCGTGTTCTGATGTTGACGTACACGTCGATCGAATTCATCCTAGAGGCGTTCGATTGGGTTGAGATCTGGAGATCTCGACGGCCAGGGAAATCGTTGATGTTGGCATTATGAAGGTAGACTACCGTGACACGAGCTGTGTGCGGTGGAGCGTTGTCCTGTTTAAACAGCTACCTCTGGCGGTCAATGATTGGAAGAAGGTAAAGTTGAAGAATTTGATTCCTGAACCACAACCAAGTCAGATCTCGTCGTGTAGGATATGGCCCCACACATCATGACACTACCGCCACCTAATTTGTCGAATTCACGTACACAATGTGGCACAAAACGCTCATTTCGACGACGATAAACACGTTGTCTTACATCTCGTCGGTGAAGAGGATATCGTGATTTATCGCTAAACCACACTCGTCTCCAGTTTCAAGGCTGTAACGTATGGCACCAACGCAACCGTCGTTGACGATGGATCTGTTGCAAAACAGGGACGATAACTGTTCTTCTGGGTCGTTCCAGCCTCGCGAAGATGGTTCCTGACAGTCTGGTCCGATATCCTCCTCAAACCAGGTGGAACAGTCGAATATAGTGATCCTGTGCAGGGCTGGTAACTCTTGGTCGGCCGGTTCTCGGACGGTCTGCAGTGGAATTGAATCGGTCACAAAGGCGGCAAATGGTGCTGTGGTGGACGTTGAGAGGCGTGCAACAGAAGACTCCGATTCCCCTCTTTGGATACGTCCTATGGCGATGTTCCGATCGGCAGCCTTTTATTTACACGTTGTGTGTTTTCTTGGTTCCGATCGGCAGCGCTGACGCACCGTTTGTCGAATATCAGTGAGTGAGTGAGATGGATTTAACGCCGCTTTTAACAGTATTCCAGTTATATCGCGGCGTGTCAGCTTAATGTGTGAGGAAAGCCCGAAGTGATGCAGGTCTCAGACGTTTACCACTTCGGTGAAACCCACCAGCACGGGTATGGTGCTGACAAATGTCGAATATCAGGTCACCAACATTTTCCAATAACATATGTCCAATATATATACCGGATTTTTTTGTGTAGTCAGGTTCAATGAACTACATACTACCTGTTCGTTTCTTTTTTTGAAGAGTGTATATGGGCATACAAAATTGCTATACTGGTGATTATATTCCCAATCTTTTGATTTTAAGGCCAAATAAATTATAGAGCCTAGAGTTTCTTGCAGTGTGTTCTTTGCACAGTACTTCAACGTTTTCACACTGTCGCAAATTATATCATTACTCTACAATAGTCGGACTCTTTAGCTGCGATAAATACAATATTGAAACAAAATAGCAGAATGTCGAAGAATAAAAAATCAATATCATTGTCATGACGATACTGTTTATGCATTTGAAGCAAGGCTCTTGACACTAAGCACAGTGCCCCTATGGAAAATAGCAATCCGGGTGAGGGCCGTGAAGATCCGGGGTGGATGAGGTCTTCAGCAACCCATTCTTGCCGTAAAAGGCTACTATGCTTGTCGTAAAATGAGACTAACGGGATCAATTGCGTAGATCGATGCTCATGATATTAATCACTGGATTGTCTGGTCAAGACTCGATTATTGACAGACCGCCGTCATACAGCTGGAATATTGCTGAATGTGGCTTTTAACAACAAACCAACCAAACAACCAATCCAGGTGAAGGTTTGTTTATCAATTCTCAATTCTCAGAAAAGGATGTGATGTGAAACATATTCGAAAACAAATTCCTCAACACCAGAGGACAGTCTTAATCTTTCGCCGAAACAGAATCCAATGGTCACAGGACATAAATGGATGACTGAAAGTGTCAGTGATGATACCAGATGTTAGCGAAAAGGGCAAGCATGCCCTGCGATACCTCTAGCACCCGCCACTCACACAATATGCTCAACAATAAGGGTTTGTTGTTGATTGACGCCACACTGCAGTACTCCCGAATGACTGGAGACTATTGTAAGAGATCGTAAGTGACAAGCAGTCTCACTTGGGCGATATACTGACTGGTATTGATTGCTGTCAGCAATAAGGTGGATCCTCGATGGACACAGCATGAATGACGACTGTTTTCCATATCTAGTCAGTTAAGTCTATTCACACCCACAGAGGACAGTGAGCCGCAGGATGGGAAGGAGTGGCCTTGTGCTTGTGCTGTTGGTCTATCAAGTAGCAGCTGGTAAGTATAATCGAATCAGTTGACAGATACAGCAAATACATGTACATTATCAATATGCCATTCTTTCGGCATATTACCGCTTTATTCAACCAGTTGTCTTGTATTTTATTTGAAACTGTTTTATTTATACGTTGTGTAACATCTTGGTTACCTTAAAGTCACGCCATGTAGAGATATTTTGGTGTAAATTTTCGTAAATCTATTTTCACATGCTACAGCGGTCATAAATTTTATCTGATTTCATTGTTCTGGTTGTTTCCGAGAAGTTGATGTTACTAATAAAAAGAAATAGATTTTGAGAGAATGTAAAAACATGGTCTAAAAGCAAAGGAATAGACAAGGTTAAAATATTAAATATTGAGAAAAAGTGTTTAGTTCCACTATTTTCAAAAGAACGTATGCTGTGATTAGCATAAATTAAATTCAGATGGAACCACTTCAACATATTGAAGTGACGTTAATAATGGGAACAATCATGCTAAGTTTCAGCTTAAACTGTCTTGTGTTTTCTGAGGAGATAATGGGTTAGGGCATGGTCCAAATGCAAGGGTCAAATCAAGGTCAAAATTAAAAAAAATATATTTTGATATCCAGCTTTATTCTTCCAGCAGTTTCTGATTACATGATTTCGACGATGATGTTTAAATATTTTCCAATATGCCTGCTGGACTCGCACATATGGCGACCATCACCCATAAAGTTTCGTGCTTTTCGCCCATTATACAGTTTGTGGAAAAAGATCGTTTAAGGACATTTACATGCTTGTCATATTGAAAGTTTCATCTTAATCCAGAAAGGAAAACGATAACAATAGCACCACAGCACTGTAGCTCAACTGCATAGGTTTTCAGCAATTCTAAATGCCAGTTATCAAACGTAATTATTATTACTTACAAGTAATACTATACTGCAGAGATTTTCACAAAATATGTCATCAAAAGAAGAAAAATAGCGAACGTTCAGCTTCCTCAGTCTGGTAAGATGGTTAATGTAATTGCAGTTCAAAGAAATGCATTTTGAGAGAATATCGGAGCATGCTCAAAGAGCAAAGAGCAAATCTAGAAAAAATTGAAATATCGCAAATTATTAAACGAAGTATACTTGTTGAACCCCTCCACTAACATCAGATGTGCCAAGATTCATTATACTTTTAACAAACATGATTAGGCAAGCCACAAATAGGGTTTTCAATATGACTGTAATGGCGGTACTTTTGAAAATTGGATTCGAGACACTGGCACAAACTGAGGTGTCAGCACTGGTGGAAAAAGCATGTGAAGCTGCAGATTCACTGGTTTTGTGGTGTCTGAGAAGATGTAGACAGATGTCGAAGAAACCGACGGTATCGGTCAAGCTGGCCATGAAAAAAGTTCACATGACTTTCTAGACGGTAAAAGAACGCCTCCGTCGACTGACAAGGGATGACTTGCGTTTGTATATAAGAACACGTGACTGTTGACGTCTACAGACGTGTGCAATGCGCGGTTTCTTAATGTCATGGAAACGGTGGCATAAACCTGCAGGATAATATTTGCTGAAATAATGTAATCTTGATCATGATGCAGCTTGTCTTCAGGGATCGAGTATCTTTGCAACCGCAACTGAAACAAACTCTTGTTCTAAGATACGAGCCATAGAAACTATATAGTTTCTCAATGGGCACTAGAACGGCGCTTACATTGTGTGAATGTTGATGAAAAATCGTCTTCAGGATCTAATCTAATGGAACGTTAGAATCTACAATAAGAGGGCTTTGTACCTTTCATGAATATTGCATTGTAAAAGCAGAACAGTTTTCTTTGTGTTGTTTAATGACGCATTTAGCAATATTCCAGCAATTGTTATTAATCGATGATGGACCAGGTATTACAGGCAATAAACCAACTTATCGAACTTAACCAAACGATCGATTTTGTCGCCTCGTACGACAAACACATGTTGCTGGGCACCTGCCTGACGTTTGGGCCACACGTGAACATGGGTCTTACGCGTGCAAGCCGATAATCGAGACTGGTTACTCCCAGGCTTGACGTTTTACACGTATATTTACAGAGCATTCACGTGTTAAATATTATTTGTCCACTTGAGGTGTGTATTTGGAGTTGTTAATTTTTGTGTGTAGACAATATTATTTTCAGTGTGTGTGTGTGTGTGTGTTTGTTTGTGTCCTTAGATGCAAAATGTATTTCTGTAAATCGCGTGCATCCAACAAAACGTGTTAATTCTGGTTGATATCTATATACCAGTTTACTAGATGATCTATGGACCAGATCTGTAGCCATTAGGCTGTCAACCAAAAACGTTTCCTCGCGTCTTAAACACTTCCTCAAAGTCTCCATGATAAAAGTAACAGTTTATAATAGACTTAGTGGTGCTTGTCAATGGCTACTTCAACATAAAATTCCCTTCTGATCCACGCAAATACAAGCGGTATGCTTGTTAATATAACAAGCGCAAATACGAGGTTGCAAAGCCTCACTGCACGTTCCACAAGCTTGTCCATTTTCTACTGACTTGTCATAGAGTGAGTGAGTTAAATTTTAACGTCGCATCGGCATTATTTCAGCCATATAGCGACGAGACCATGTTGAAAGACCAAGTTGATATATTCACAAGTGAGTCATAAATGGAAGGTTATATTTAGCCTCTGTTTCCTGCACGATATCCCAGCAGGAATTACGTAATCGCTTTAGCAACTGGTGGTTGTGATTGTTTGTTGTTTAACGCCGCACTCAGCAATATTCAGCCATATGACGGCGGTCGGTAAATAATAGAGCCTTGACCTGACAATCCAGTGATTGACATCATGAGCATCGATCTACGCAATTTGGGATACAATGACATACATCAACCAAGTCAGCGAACCTGACCACCCGATCCCGTTAGTCGTCTTTTACGACAAGCATAGTCGCCTTTTAAAGCAAGCATGGGTTGCTTTAAGACCTAATCTACCCCGGATCTTCACAGATATATTCAGACATTAACAACCACCAGACCCCTAACTGGGGATTCCGGTTTAGAATTGTCCCCAACGGCCTATGCTGGTTGTATGAGGCAACGTTATTGATTATATGGTCGATGACTGAAGGCGTGTTATCGTACCCCGACGACATGGATTGTTGGTCATAATGCTATTCACTGGATTGTCTTTTCTACACTTTATTATTTACAGGCTGCCGTATATAAGTGGAATACTGATGAGTGCGGCGTTAAACGATAGAGTCAAACAATTTATTTTCTTTACACCTGAGCCAATTCTTCCCAGTATTGTCGGGAACAAACATGTTAGAAAGTTCATGAATAACGTATTTCATCGTTCGATATTCAAAACTAAAGGTGGACAGTGAAATGCCCCCTGGGACACTATTTACATTTGTATATAAATGTAGGTGGGAGGGTTAATTTGTTCAAGACATTTCTGGAAATGTGTATAGTTATACTATTTGTACAGAAGAGATCTTTAGTAATTTAATGTTTCACATCCAAATCAGTGAAACTGCTTTTCCATGATTTGCAATGCTGATTAGCTATTGGCATCAGTACTTTCAACAGAACTGAAGGGAGATTTCGATCTGTAGAAAATGGCCGCTGCCTGATCGGCGAAGTTCGCATGACGCAGCTTATGCAGCAGGAATGAGTGTTGACACTTTCCTCAGTGGTCCTGAGATAAACAAAACTCCTACGAGCAGCGAGCTTCAAAGTACGAGATGCGAGCAGCAAGCTGACATTGTCGGATCATGTGGTAGTACCCACTGAGAAGTCTGCAAAACGTGTGTTACAACCCACAGCTAGTGTATTATATCACCGCTCAAGACACCCAGAGACTGCATAAAATATTGTATAGTCAATGAGTGACGTACCTGAGCATCTTACTGGTCCAATTGGAGAACTAAGTTCTGTCATGCAGGCTAATATTGCATATTTACAGGAAGAGCAGGCGGATGTGTTTGTTAAAAGTAACTTTGACTCTGACATAATTACACTCATTTTTAGATCATGACAAGGGTTTTTGCAGTCGACAGTTTACAACATGCACACCGCTGTAAAGTTAGCATCGGTGAGAACACGATTTATACATAATACAAGCGTGACATCCTGGACATGCTTGAGGCCCAAAGAGATCACGCCACAATCATAGCACTGCTGTGACAATGTCAACCCGGTAAGAAAGCTGACAAATATGCTCGTGGTTCAACCTTTCTCATCAGGAACAAAACGCCAGAGCCATGCAGGAACTTCCGATGGAGTGAGTGAGTGGGTTAAAATGTAACGTCACATCGGCATTATTTCAACCATTTCGTGACCACTTCCGATAGAACGTGTTTGCCTGGAGACATTGTGTCGCAGAGACTGTTGTCGGAGGATTGGTCAGTTTGGTGCAGAACACATTTAGATCTCTGTCTTGCCAAGAAAACATTAGATTAGATACAGTAGGCGGTTAGAAAAACTGAATGCATATTTTGAAAAAGTTGGTGCCCCATGTCTTCGAGTTTCTATTTTCGGAAATTTCTCTGTGTAATTACAGATAAACAAAAAAGGCCAGCTTCACAGATAAAGTCTGCCATAGTAGCATCTAAGTATGTCTGTGAGGCAGTGGGGATAACTGGTAATGACATGATACGTTTAAGGATGTTTTCATGAAATCCGGAACTTGGGTGGTGAGCCCTCCATCCAATGTAATACGTCTGCATAGTTTTGAGATATTCCACATGTCATGGTCTCAAAACAAGCACCTGTTGATAAAGGATGTATGCGAGAAAAGACTTATTATTAGAACCGCATTATCAGTGGTTCATATTGGGAAAGGGAGGTCTCCGTTGTTTTCGTATTTGCGAGAAATAGCGTCACCCACGCTGTACGTTGTTGGTCCAGGTATTAAATGCCCAGCTTATCCCTAAGGTAAAACGCATTCTTAATCAAATGTTTGAATGCATTATATATTTATGTTTCGATCCGTACATCTTCTAAGATTGGTGGGCCGTCGGGTAGCCTAGTGGTTA